AGGGCTGTCAGGTGGAAGACGGGGCAGAATTATTTGGAGTTCCTCCAGAAGCTAGAAGAAGAAATGCTGGCTTTCAATTATTAGGAAGTACAGCTGAACATCGGGAAAACTTTCCTAATGGCAAGAGCTGTTCAAATGTGGAATGCACCTTCTGAAAAAGGAGTGGATTCTTCTTCACTTGAGGAGTTTAAACAGAGTTTAAGCCTTAAACAGAGGTTGGATGGCCATCTGTTGGGAATGCTGTAGTAGTCGATTCCTCCACCGAGTAGAAGGTTAGATGAGACACCTCTAGGATCCTTTCTAACCCTTCCCTTTAAGGATTCCAAGGTCTCAGCCATGCATATTATTTTGTTTGAAGATCTTTTCTAGAGGTTATTTCTCAAAGTGTTTTGCACTGTGCAGGAGTACCTTTTCCTGGGATCTCATGGCAGCTTTCAAGACCAAATCTGCCTAATATTTTCTCAATGTTCAGAGTGTTTTTACCACTTGAACCTCTGCAGTCAGGAATAATAATGATATTAAATGCATTTTAAAAAAATCCTCCAGGGTAACTACCGCACTCAAGCTCTGTAAATATCAAGGCTATACTTGCTTAAAGCAGCGCCTGCCCGCAGCTCTTCGAAGCAGCTATGTCTTTCCCAAAAATCATGGGAAACGACATAGCCGCTTTAAAGCACTGGAGATATGTGTGACATGAGCCCCTGTGAGCTCCCAAATGCCTTTCTGCCTTTGAATCCAAGCACTGCATAGCTCTAGTAAACGTCATTTTGAAAAGTGCGGTCTGTTTTATTAACCAGACTTTGACGGGAGGGTGAGGTCCTTTGGGCATCGTGGCTAAAAAGCAGTCAACGGATATACATCAAGGGCACAAAAAGTCCCAACAAGTCAGATTCAGAATTTAATTTTGCTTGGAAACCATTTATGGACTGCCATGCTACATACAGACTTGCACCGCATCCAAGTCTCTCTTAATATAAGGCTTTAATATATTTGCTTTTGTTTGATTCATTCAATTCAGGACAGAATGTTCAGCTTAGATTAAAAACCTTCGTTAATTCCTTATTCTCAGCTGTGATTTCTGTTATACAGGCCAATGTTTTTAATTACTGAATATCGACTTGATTTTAATAATGTTCTGAAGACTTAAAATGATCCCTGATACATTAACATGCAACACTAATGTCATTTCACAATTTCACATTGCACTTGTATTGCTTGTAAATCTCTCCCCCCCCCCTTTTTTTTGTTTGTCTTCTTGATTTTGTCCTTTTTAACATCTCTACTAAAATAAATGAACACTTTGCTTTGGGGGAAGGCCTCCTGTTCCTGTCCCCACCCTCAACTTCTCCAGTCCAAAAAACTGGGCTGAAAATTTTGAACCATACCTGGTGACAGCCCATCCAGAGGATTGGATCGCAATGCTATGCCAGCCATCTTGCAGTTTTTGACCTTGGCCCCAACATCCCTACACAGCCTTCTTTGGCCCTCCAAAACTTTAGGGAATATGTTGTAGCCCCCAGCCGTTCCAACTTACCCCCTACCACCCCCACATTATGACATTTCAGCTCTTCTAGACATTTTCTTTCAGCAAGTGAGATGAAGATCAACAGAGAACAATAACCCTGAAACAAATTTGATCATGGTCCCACGTATTCGACTTTAATGTTTGCGTTTCACGATTCCCAGCTAGGGAAATTTCTGTGCCAAAAATGTGGATTATGATAACTCAGAAGCGTGTTTTCATATAATCTGTTCAAAGCAGCCCCTCTGAGACATGTTGTTGCCTGAACGTGCGTGTCTCTCTGTCTGCTGCAATCTGAAATCGAAATGGAGATTTTGCCGGCCGTTCACCTCTTTTGAAGCCCTAAGCGGTTCCACCAACTAAGGAGAGCAATTGAAGTTAATTAAGTGAATATTTCATTTAAAAAGAGGTATAGGCCTTTGTAGATCAGATTGGGTTGCCATTCACGTTAAGGAATGAACAAGGTTTCAGGGCTGAAGAGAAAAGATATAGGCACCCTTAAGTATGAAACCAAGCCAATTTGGTGTAGTGGTTGTAAAGGTGCTGGTGTCAGAGTCTGCACACTCAATCCCAAAGTTCAGTAAATCCTCTGGAGACAAAAGGTTAGCAAACGGTTAGAATAACATTCCCAACATTTCACTATTGATCTATGGTTAGCAATAAATGCAAAAGTATGGTTAGTAATAATAGCACATTGAAATAATTGAAAGCAAACGGTTAGAATAACATTCCCAACATTTCACTATTGATCTATGGTTAGCAATAAATGCAAAAGTATGGTTAGTAATAATAGCACATTGAAATAATTGAAAGCAAACGGTTAGAATAACATTCCCAACATTTCACTATTGATCTATGGTTAGCAATAAATGCAAAAGTATGGTTAGTAATAATAGCACATTGAAATAATTGAAAGCAAACGGTTAGAATAACATTCCCAACATTTCACTATTGATCTATGGTTAGCAATAAATGCAAAAGTATGGTTAGTAATAATAGCACATTGAAATAATTGAAGATTCTGGTTTGCGTAGATCCTGACAGCTGGACTAGAAGCTGGGAGACCATGAGTTCAAATCCGGCCAGCAGGAAAGCCAGCTGGATAGCTTTGGGCCAGTCCCTCTCTCTCAGCCCTAGGAAGAAGGCAATGGCAAACCATTTCTGAAAATCTGGCCAGGAAAACTGCATTGTCTTGCCCATGTAGTTTCCAGGAGTCAAGACTAACTCCGGGGCACACATTCACACCCAGAGATGCCTAAAACCTGTGTCTTGCTGTGGGGAAGGATCTATGGATTCTTCAATTTCCCATGCTTGAAATCAATCTCAAGGGAAGACCTCATAGGGAAACCCCTTCTAGGAGTTTTTCCAGATTAGGAGTGCTGGCAATCATGGAATAATCTGAGGGACAGGAAGATATGTCACGGAAAACAGCTGCACCCACAGAAACACTCTCTACTACTTCTACCAATAATGTACGTTCAGAAACATCACCGAGAGGAATCAGAAAGAAATTCTCAAGCACCCTGAGAATAAGGCAGCAAAACAGAAGCCTGTTTGAAGCGCAAGGGAAAACCATGAGAAATGGCAAAGCAGAAATTGAGAGAACATGGAATCTCACCTCTGTACAGAGAGCTTCTGTAAATGAAGTGCTCCTAAAAGCACCATCCTGGGTACGCATCAGCCTAGTTTCTTAAACAGTGAAAGAGTTTATAACAAAGTACAAGAAGCAGGAGAAATTGTCTTTTACATTCCCTGCTGTTATAAATTGGGAGGGATGATATTTTAATTGGGAAAGATGAGAATCTCACTGGGAGCCACCCTTTTCCAAGTTCATTATAAGGGGTAACTGTGAAACCATGCAGTCTGTTAATGACAACGACAATCTCTTATTAAACTAGCGAAGAAAAGGAAAGTACAGTTTTGTCTACAGAATTCTAAATCAAACCAATGAAATCAAATTAGCCTGGCTGGTTATTGCTTGCTTGAATTAGAGTCAGATGAAGTTGGCAGCGTCCACTTGAATTAATTAATTAATTAATTAAATGAACTAGCTGGCTAGCTTTTTGGTTTCAGCATATATTCCAAATTCATTGCAGAGAGGGTGGTTGGAAATATATCCTCTAGGTTTCCTATTAGGGTGTTGTTTGGCAGGTCCTTCTTTCCTTATTCCTCATTCTGTTTTATAGAATGTGAAATATCACTGAAAGACTGCATCGTCAGGAAAAGTAATTCTCGCTTTGCCCATTCAAACAAAATGCTGCCTCTCTGATGCCCTGTGTCTAGCCAGCAAATCAGAAATTATCTGGTGGGTTTTGTTCTGGTTGTTGTTGAAAGAAGAAAAGACTGAACTGATGATTTATGGATTTAGGGATTAAAAAGGGTTAAAAGAGGAAGGGGAAAAATTAAGATGGCAATTACTTGATGGAAAGAAGGGCGGAAGTCATCATTCTATGTTTTCTTACTTTTCTTACTTTTCTCATTTTTTTCTTATTTTCCATCTTTTTTTCTTTCATATTCTTTCTCTAATTTTCTATACTTTTATTGTATTGAAACATTTTATACACACACACACAGAGTATGTATGTATGTATGTATGTATGTATGTATGTATGTATGTATGTATGTATGAATGAATAACATTATCTGGAGGCTAACCTCTCCTTGCTAAATATTCTTGGTGTAAAGGGGAAATCTGATTGTCATTGTGTCGCTATATTAATACACTTAAGAGGGACAAGTTTTTGAGACAACTGACAACATAGATTCTGTTTATTTTGGTCTCTTGGTATGAGGTCAATTTACCAGATATTTCAGGGGACATTATTGTGCCATACCAAAGACTACAGGTTAGTCACACCTGGCATCAAACCCATTCAGTCTCTATAACCAAATCTCAAATCTTACGCAGACCTCAAATCCTGCAAGGCAACCCGCATATCTCTGCTGAGCAAGCTTCATTGGGATGTGGGGTGCCACGCTTGCAAAGAAACTGAATCAGTACATCAGTACTGATCTCCTGAAGGCTGGAGAACCCCACTAGTAATTTTGTACAGCAAACCTGGCCAACTCTATTCAAAGGGATCCATACATACAAGAAACCAATGTTGTTCTAAGAGTGGGGTCCAGAGCCAATGAAGCAGAGGCTTTGGCCATAACCTGGCACTCAAACTGTCATGTTCTAGGCAGTCTTCAAGGGTGGCCCCTTGAGAGCATACTGTAGTAATCATCACAAGAACAGACTTTGCCATATCCTGATGCTTCCTGCATTTGTCTGGCATTTCTTCTCCTCTTCGTTCTGAAATAAAGGCATTCTGCCCCCAAAATTACTTTACAAACCATGACACTCTCTCAGCCTCATGATTGCTCTGCAAAATTGACATCTCACTTAGAAGTCTCCCACCCCCACCGCCACCCAAAAAAAAATAAATAAATAACCAGAAAGAAAAAAATCCTCAAAGACAGCAGACGAGTTGCTGGCTTCCGTCCTCAGATTCTCAAGAATGCGCTCAGCTTCTTCACAGCATCCCAGTCAACTGAAAGAACCATGCAGGAATTCAAGGTTTGCGACCGACTCTTGTTCACAAGTTGCAAGGGCTTCAAAATGTGCTTTGCGACGCGGTTCTGTGTTCTGTGTCAACGTGGGTGGGTTTTCTCAGGACGCCTTGTCGATTTTGCTCTGATAGGGTTGAGTCGTGAGCTGTTCTTGGGGTCTCGCTTTATCGCTGTGGGGGTAAAATGATGGAGGTGTAAACTAGGAAATCCCTGATTTGAATGAAACATCTTCTTTGCTTTAAATGTGGCTGATACCTCATGCAAAGGTTTTGGGTTGTTACTTTTTTAGCAAGATGATAAACCTGCCTAGAATGCTTGAAGAATGTGCAAATCTTGGTTTTACTGATCATACTGGAGCAGCAAAAAGACTTCAGAATCTTTAAAGCGTTGTGGTTCTTGACTCGTTCAGGCATTTCTAACTCTTCATGATCCAATGGATGTTTGTTTGCTAGCTCTGTCTGTCAGTAACTGCTGCTTTGAGTTCTTGTAAGCCCTGGCTTGTGTTATTAAAATATCCTCTAAGTCATTTTGGATAAATCTCAATTTCGAAGTGGAACTGTGAGGATAGAAAGATTACCGTTTCTATTTCGATTACCTCTAGGGTGGATGATGGCATGTCGACTTATTCATGGCCATCTTTCTTAAAAGTTGCTGCTACCCTTGAATGTGATTTAAGTGAGTTAAGAAGGGGACTGGTTCTTTGAGAGCCCATTCCCCAGCTTGGCACCTTCCAAGGATGTGAGCAATTCTGGGAGTTGCATTCCCCGCCCCCCCAGAACAACATAGGGGTGTCTGCAGGGGCTGTGTGGGTCAAAGTCTGCAAGAGGGCAGGTCCAGGAGCCTGGTTGGTGCCATGGCTCGCTTGGACATGAGTGCAACCAGGCACATATAAAAGATGCAGAGCTTCAGTTGAGACACTGTGTCTGTCATCTTGCAGATAATGACCCCCACTCCACCCCTGGGGCAACACGTTGGCGAAGCTTGGTGTGATGGATCTAATTTTAACCACGTTTGTTCTATGGAGAATAAAGCATTTCATCTCCTGACTTTTATTCTAGGAAAAAATCCCTACCGTTTCTAATCTCTTCTTTGGAGTTAAAGAGAATCAAAGTCAGTCAGGGTTGGTAAACGAGCATGTTCACCCATTTTCTCTTTTGTGACAGGCCAGTCTTCTCATCTGAGTCCCTAAATAAGTAAAGCTTGCTATGGAGAATCTCTAAAGTCTTTAACACTTAATAATATCCTTAAGATTAGAAACAGACAATCTTTTTTTTGCAGTCAGAAGACAGACGTTGCTGTTAGTTTTGGTTATGCTTTGCTCACGGGGGGGGGGTGTTTGTGCAGTGGGTGGGGTTACAGGGGTACAGAGATATGTGGACTTCAACTCCCAGAATTCCCCAGCCACATGGCTGGGGGATTCTGGGAGTTGATGTCCACACATCTTAAAGGTGCCAAGTTTGAAAAGCACTGTGTAAACTGTGTGGGCAGACTGTGCACATTTTACCCCAATTGAACCCCTCCTCACGATGCCGAGAGACATGATGCATATCTCAGCGGTTCACCAGGAGGAGGTCACAGATAAGCATGGACAAAAAAGGAAAGAAAAATAGGCTGACGTGCTTACATGGTTTCCCCAGCAGGTGGCAGCATCTAGGCCACTTTGGCTGATCTTTGCAAAAGCTTGATAGGACTGGAGCTGCTTAGTGCTTGGATGGGAGACCACTAGTCGATCCCAGGGCTGTAGCTAGACTGGGAAATCGGGGGGGGGGGGACCAGAAGATAGACATGAGAAACCCCTTCTATATTGCTGCTAAATCTTCATAGCTCTGTCCATGTAGTCATCAGGAGCTCAGTTTGAGGGGGTTTATATCGTTTTACTTATATAGTTGGCTGGTTAAGTGAATAGATGCATTTGTGTTGTTCTTGTGACTATGACTTCCATTTCTGCGGCCAGCCAGCTTCATTTAAACCAGTATTTTTCAAACCTGGCAACTTTAAGATGTGTGGATTTCAATTCCCAGAATTCCCCAGTCAGCATGGCTGGGGGAATTCTGGGAGACAAAGTCCACACATCTTAAAATTGCCAAGTTTGAAAAACAACGAATTAGACTGTAGATGGCATTGCCCCTTTATATCAAGTGGACTATTGATGCCTGCTATGGGCTAGAATCTGCATTATTTCCGCCAAGAACTTCCTTATCCTTCCATAATGTACCAAAGGCAGGTTGCCATTGCAGTGTGAAAAAGTGAAGCTTCCAGATATAAGACTCCATTCCAGAGAAGCTCCGTCTGTAACCCTGAGCTGTCTATCCATTGGTGCCGACTTACAGTACTGTAGCTGTCCAGCGATAACAAATGGGAAGCTGCTATTAATAATCAGATGTTCTCCAGATGTTGGGGCTACAGCTTCCAGAATTCTGGCTCAGAAGTCCCAACATCTAAGTTGGGGGAGATTGGTTTAAAGATATGCAGTGCTTCATTGCACAAGTGGTTAATCTTGTAACTGTTCAATGCTAAAATTCAAAGAGGTGAATTTAAGACACTTAGTTTTCATCAGAGTGGAGAAGCCACTAGTAAGCAGTGCTGGCTGGGAAGGGAGCGTGTAAGAAAGGTGCAGGATGGAGATTGGGCCAGCGTAGGGGCAGGGCCTTGTACACATACAAAGGGACACATGTGTACACATTCACACATGTTTGTGTATAATGTATGCATACAAATGTACATATACAAAGGGGCATGTGTGTAAACATATAAACATGTACACACACAAAGGGGCAGGGCCTTGCACACATATAAAGGGGCATGTATGTGCACATGTACACATGTACACGTACACATGTACACATACAAATGCACACATGCAAATGGGGCATGTATGTGCACATGTACACATGCACACACACATGCAAAGGGGGCATGTATGTGCACATGTACACATACCAATACACACATGCAAAGGGGGCATTACACACACAAAGGGGCAGGGCCTTGCACACATACAAAAGGGTATGTATGTACACATGTACATGTACACATACAAATGCGCCCAAACAAAGGGGCATGTTCACATGCACACATACAAATGTACACATACAAAGGGGCGGGGCCTTGATCCTGCTGATCCAGCCACCATCTTGCCTCTTTTGACCTCTGGGCCCTCTACAGATCCCAGGGGGCGAAATGAGGGAAGTTGCTCAAACCGGCTCTTCTTTCTCTTCCTCCAGGTTGTCCGGCTGGCCCAGAATTATTTCTGGATTTCTTGCCTTGTGCTTGCGGGCTTCCTCGCCTTACAGGTGTGTGGTCAAGGTAAGCCGCCATCCTGCCTTCCCACATGGGGGTTGGCCGTTGGGTCAAAAGACTGCTATTGCAGCACCGGAAAGATAAATGTAAGGCCCCATTCATTCCATGGATCGAGGACCTGATTGCGCTGGCCACTTATGAGCGAATTGCCTATAGCTGTAGACTTTGTATGGACAGGTATAATGAAATATGGGACTCATTTATACAAAATGCACTGGGTTAAAAGAAAAAAAAACATGATAGTCATATAAATCTATTAGAAATTTATATGTCATTGAATAATATTTATTAGATAAGGTCTAATATCTTTTGGCCATAGTAAGGGCACAGAGAATCCATTTATGTTGCCCTGATGTCAAATTCCATATACTAGGTATATAGTTCAAAAGAATAATAATGTACTGTATTAGATAAGCATATATAGAATTGTAATTGTTTATTGTTACAATGATATACAGTATTAACACTTTTTTTTCCTCTTTGCTATTTTCACTTTTTTGTTAAAGCACATTTATGTATTTTTCTTCTTCTTTTTGTAATCAAAAATTTAAAAATAAATACATAAATAAAACGTCTAACCCTTTGCTCAGTGGAGGAATGTAAATTACAGCATTCCTGACCAATGGCTTTCTACTGTCTGAGCATATATAATAAAAGTGAGCCCATCACCTTTCTGGGTCATTGATTCTCCTGACCAATTGTTCTTCCCGTTAGGACATTTTCTAACAATCAGAATCTGCTTCCCTATAACTACAGCTTATTATTCCATATCTTGCACCTAGAACCAGAGATCTTCCATATGGCATTTTCCATGTGATCGGTAGAAGGTAGCTCCCTTGTCCCACCTCTAGCACACTGCTGTTGGGAACAAGAATTCCATGAAATGCACTCCATTGAAAACCTAGAACATTAACAAATTCCAGAGAGGGTTAGGCTAGAAACCTCCTTCCTCACCTACAGTATAGACCTGAATGTGCAGGTCACCTCTCTAGCTAGGAGGAGCATTCAACCCAGTAAGCCCCACCTAAAATCTGATGGAGCACAGTGCAGACGAGGCCTATGCCTTTGAAAGGAAAAAGAAGAAGGTAGAAAATAAACTCCACTGTTTGTTTTCTGTGCATGCTCTTTTTATCCATAACATACTTCTTTCTTATGGTTACCTGCTCTTTGGGGTCTTCTCTTATCGTCTCAGATCAGTCACAGAACAAGGAAATGATCCTACAGTATGATGAAAACACTTCTCAGGAATGGGCTTTTCAGTGGAATGCAGCCCATTTACATTCCAGCTATCAGATTAACCAGTCTCTCAAACTTTGCATTCAGCTGCCAGCATTCTTGTCACTCCATGTTGTGGCTCCTAGAGTGACCACCAAGATCAGGGACGAACAAGTGGACTTGGAAACAACTTCTGGCTTTATGAGCAACATAATCCCCTCTTTGTTCTGCTTGTTCTCCCTGCCTTTGCTCCAGCAATGGGACCCATGAAGCATTCTGCATGAGCATGTTGCGCTTCAAAAGGGAATGGAAGACCCTCCCATTCTGATTTGGTCAGAGCTGCCTCTGAATCTCAGCTTTGTTTTCCCATGCAACATAATTTCCTCCAGGAAGCTAGAAGAATATCTCCCAAAGGTTAAAGGTCACAGATGTGGAACTGAGTCAGTTACTGTGGTCCTTTGGTACCATTGTTTGACTCCAATGGTTGGGTCATCTGATTGCATTTCAGTGGATAACGTTTCTGAGATTTGGAGGCTGTGTTGTGGAGTTGTGGCCAGTCATTTATGTCTGTTGTAAACTAGGAAAGCAATTAGCGCAGCAAATCCTTCAACCAGAATAAAACAAAATAGAGTCATTTCTGTTCCACTTATCTCCCCACATCTTGCTTTCCCTTTGCTGAACTTTGGATTGTAAGCTCCTCCAGATAGGACCTATCTCTTTCTGCTGAATAAAACAAGAAGTTCACCAGTCTTATGCAATCAGCACTTTATGTGTTGAACTTCAGCTTCTGTAACCCTACAATTGGCATGATCTAAAGGACTTGAGAGAGTTGATGCCCAGTGCATCTGGAGAACTTTGGAATGTCAGTAGCTGATACGTATCATGGTACTATGCAAATAAAACCATAGGACTTTAATTCTTTTTTGTCTGGATGGGCTTCCTTTTCTTTCCTCAGCAAACTGGGATTTCTGGATTATTGTTCATAAAGCTAAAAGAAGCTTCCACGGACTTCGGGGGGCATATCTTTCCAATTAGTATGTTGCAATCAGAATCTTTGAACTTTCTGCAGATACTTCAGGAACTTTATTTATATACTAAGGGTATATAAATAAATCTCCTTGCTCACTGAAATCAAGAAGACAGGCTGAACTCAGTGGTTGGATTTGCACAACCAGCTTCAGTGGCTGTATTCATACAACATTTTAAGCTTGGTTAATATTAACCTAGATTAGCCTGGTTGGAACTGAGCTTACTGAGACATTCTTTTGAAACTCAAATCCTGTCCTTCAAAATGTCTGTGTCTGACCTAATTAGCTGAAGATCTTCTTCTGTTTTAAGTAATCTATGTTCTAAGGAAGGATGCAGTCATAATTTATACACAGTTTTGTACTCTTCATCCATGTCAGAGTACACCCCCCCAACATTTATCCCCCTCCCCTCCAATTTTTATTTAAAATAATAAATTTCTTTCTTTTTCTTTTATATTTATTATTATTCCTTCTATACTTT